CCAGAGTCGTGGGAAAGTAAAGTAGAAGCTATCACTGAAACCCTTGATCTAGACAAACTTGTCATGGATGAGCTTATTGGAAATCTCATCACATATGAACTAAAGAAAAACCAAGAAAAAGAAATTGGCAGTAAAAAAAAGGAGAAGAACCTAGTTCTGAAAGCTACAATATCTAAAGACTTTGAGGACGAAAATATTGCACTTATGACAAAGAGATTTTCCAGAATGTTAAAAAGAGGACAAACTTTTCAAAGAAGAGGTCCCCAAAAGACAGCTGAAAGCTCAAGAGAGCAACTATGCCATAAATGTGGAAGTCCAGATCACTTCATCAAATTCTGTCCACTTTGGTCCTTAGACCATAAAAAGAATAACACAGACAAAACAAAGGATGGTAAAGGTGACAGATATATTCCTACCAATAGGAGGATGACTAACCAAGAGGCTGATCACTCAATGAAGAAAGCTTTTGCTGCAATGGGTGGCATGTCAGAAGATGAGCCTGAAGATGAGGAAACTGAAAATCAATCCCTACTTGCAATCGAACAAACTGACAAATATCACTTCCTTGCACTAGTAGCCATAACTGAACCTCAAGATAAGGAAAATAACTGTCAGATACAGGAGACAATTCAAGCATTAATTGTTGGGCTAGATTCTGAAGAAGAAGAGGACAAGAAGGACCAGGTTAGTCTGCATTACATTAAAGAAAATCTTGACTCTTATTCAAAACGAAAACTAGAATCTCTATTGCATACTCTCATAAATGCATACCAATCAACCTGTTCTGAAAGAGATCTGTTAATGGAAGACTATTCATCATTGAGAGAGGAAAATGAAAACTTAGAACAACAAAATTGTATTCTTTATAATAAGCTAAAAGATTGAACAAAGAGTTTAAATCCATAACTATAAAAAATGAAAACCTACAGAAAACACTTCACATTACCAAAATGGAAACAGAGCACAGTATGAGATGGACCAAGTCCTTCATACTACTTGATAGAATCCAAAAGAGTCAATCTTCCACAAGACATGGAATAGGCTTTTATGAAGATAAGAATCCCAACATAGATTGTTTGTGTTCCCACTGTGGACATACAGGACATAAGAGTTATGCATGCAATAAAAAACAAACTGCACATTAGAACAATTTCACTTTCGTACAAAAAACTCAAAAGATATAGAAACAAAACAACACAAAACTGGTTCCCACACTTAAAACCCTTCCATCATGAGCTAAGAAAAATTGTATTCATCCTTTCTCTAAAAAATAGGGACCCAAGTAAATTTGGGTACCCAAAACTAACCCTGTCTAATAATTGCAGGATTCAGCGGAAGGAAAGCCAAAACAATGGTACTTGGACAATGCATGTTCCAGGCATATGACTGGAGATAAAAGCAACTTCCTCTCATTGAAAAACTTTAAGGGTGGAAACGTAGCCTTTGGAAATGGAAAAACTGGAGAAATACAAGGAATTGGAAAACTGGGCCTGAACCTTAACCAAGCTATTGACAATGTGTACTATGTGAATGGATTACAACACAATCTGCTAAGTATATCCAAAATGTGTGACAAAGGAAACAAAGTTATATTTACTACTAATGAATGCAAAGTGGTCAACTCAACCATAGAGGAACTGGTTCTCATTGGGAAAAGACAAATGTATACAAAACTGAGATAATGAGCCCAGACATCCCACTCACTTGCCTCAGCGCCATCACTGAAAATTCCCTTCTTTGGCACAGAAGGTTGGGGCATATTAGTAGTTCTATAATAAATAAGTTAGTATCGAAGAACCTGGTCAGAGGAATACCTGAAAAGAAGCTACTTAATGAACAAATATGTGGTGCATGTGCACAGGGTAAACAAATAAAATCTTCCTTCAAACCTAAGGCAGTAGTCAGCAGTACAAAACCTTTGGAACTGCTCCACATGGACTTATGTAGACCAATGTGAGTGCTAACTAGAGGAGGAAAAATGTACATATTTGTAATTGTAGACGACTACTCTAGATTCACATGGACCATATTTTTAGTAACAAAGGATGAGACATACGATATGTTTGAAATCTTTATGAAACTGGTTCAAAAGAAATTCAATAGTGAAGTTATCAACATTAGATCAGATCATGGTTTAGAATTTGAAAACTTCAAGTTCCTAAACTTTTGCATTATCAATGGTGTTGATCACAACTTTTCAGCACCAAGAACTCCACAACAAAATGGTGTGGTAGGACGCAAGAATAGAACATTAGAAGACATCGCTAGAACCATGTTGATTTCAAGCAATCTACCAAAATCCTATTGGGCTGAGGCAATAAATACTTTATGTTATCTCATTAACAGATACATGATAATGTTCATACTAAATAAAACCCTATACGAACTGTTGAAAGGAAGAAAACTGAATCTAGCACATCTTCGACCTTTTAGGTGCACCTGCTATGTACATAACAATGGGAAAGGCACCTTGGGTAAGTTTGATTCCAAAAGTAATGAAGGAGTGTTCCTTGGGTACTCAACACAAAGTAAGGCATACAAAATACTTAACCAGAAAACAAATTGTGTAGAAGAAAGCATGCATGTCATCTTTGATGAAGGGTAGAACCAAACTAATGGAGGCATGGTAGAACATCTTGATGATCTAGGTATGACTCAACCAAAACCACCAGAGGAAAACCAATCAAATGAGGATGGAACTGAGGAACCAAATAAATTAAGCCCTATCACTCGTGAAACTGAAAATACAGTCGATGAGGTAGAAGATGGAGAACCAAGGCCATCAACATCTAACACTACTTGAGATGCTCAACCAAATAGTTGGAAACATCAAAGATCCCATCCAATACAGAATATTCTCACACCCTTGGATTCAGGAATTCATACTAGAGAAAAACTAAGGAATATGTGTGCCTTCTCAGCATATTTATCACTGGTCGAGCCCAAAAATACTAAAGAAGCTCTGGTAGACCTATACTGGATTATAGCCATGCAGGAGGAACTGAGTTAGTTTGAACGAAACAAAGTCTGGAACATGGTTCCCAGACCACACGATAGAAATGTGATAGACACTCTATGGGTTTTTAGAAATAAAATCGACGATCAAGGACAAGTCACACGAAACAAGGCAAGACTAGTTGTACAAGGGTACAATCAGGAAGAAGGAATCGACTATGAGATACATTCGCACCCGTAGCAAGAATGGAAGCAATACCGATGCTTATAGCCTTTGCCGCCCACATAGAGTTTAAACTATAGCAGATGGATGTAAAAAGTGCTTTTCTGAATGGATACCTCCAAGAAGAAGTATATGTGAAACAACCTCTTAGGGTTGAAGACCCTGATCATCCTGAATATGTTTATAAACTAGACAAAGCACTATTTGGGTTAAAGTAAGCACCAAGAGCATGGTACGATCGCCTGTCCAAATTCCTCCTTACACATGGGTATTCAAGAGGAAAAATAGATAATACACTATTCCTGCGAAGACAAGGTAATGACCTACTCATTGTTCAAGTGTACATAGATGATATCATATTTGGAGGAACAGATACTGAACTAGGAGTTGAATTCGCACAATTCATGAGTAGCGAATTTGAGATGAGCATGATGGGTGAATTAAACTTTTTCTTAGGTCTTCAAATCAAATAGTCCTCATCGGGCACCTCAATCAATCAACAAAAATGCATCAAAGAATTGCTAAAGAAATTTGAGACGAATGACGCCAAAACAATTGATACTCCCATTGGAACAACGACTAAGCTTGATAAGGATGAAACTGGTTCTCCAGTAAACGATACCAAGTACAGAGGAATGACTGTCTCACTATTGTATCTAACTGCCAATAGACCTGACATTGTATTCAATGTAGGGCTATGTGCTTGATTTCAGTCATGTCCAAAATAATCTCATCTAAAAGTAGTGAAAAGGGTCCTTAGATATCTTAAAGGTACACTTAACTTGGTTCTATGGTATCCAATGGGAGATTCCTTCGACCTGGTAGGTTTTGCAGATGCAGACTACGCAGGTTACCTTGTAGACAGAAAAAGTACATCTGGAATCGCTCAATTCCTAGGGCTTCGTCTCGTCTCCTGGCAACAAGAAAACAAAATCCGATCATCCTCTCCAATGCTGAGGCTGAATATATGGCTGCTGCATCTTGTTGTGCACAACTGTTATGGATTAAGCAACAATTGGAAGATTTTAGAATTAACGTAGGATGCATACCCATCATGTGTGACAACACAAATGCAGTCAATATGGCAAAGAACTTGGTCAAACATAAACGAAACAAGCACATAGATATCAGGCATTATTTTATTCGTGACAATTTTGAAAAAATGACTCATCATCATGACCTTTTGCAAAACTGAGGATCAGATTACTGACATTTTCACCAAGGCACTTGGACGTGAACCATTTCAGAAGAATCGTTTAGCCTTAGGGCTGGTGTTTCAAGATTAACACATGCCCCCATGACATTCTAAGGCTTATATCAAAGTAAGGTGATCTATGAAACTGTAACACATGTTCAGTTCTAACGCATCTTGGTACCTGAGGATTAAGGTCTAATCATATTACCCTTAAATTCTTCTAGCCTTGGTACATGAGTGCTCACATAGCCATGACCAGGTTCTCATTTCACCAGGTATACACTTCATCCCTCTCTTTATTCATCTCTGCATTGCACTTATACATATGACCTTGTTACACTCTAAAAGAACCTAGTGCACCTTACTGTTTTCCATACATCTTTGATTTTTTTCGCGGGAAATAAAAAATGACTCACCATTTAAACCCTTATCAAACCTTTCCCACTCACATCACCACGGGCACTTAACCGTCACTCACGCCTCCCATCAATGTAAGACCACCATCATTACATCTCATCACCCAAGAATTCTTCCCAAACGTCTTCCACTAATCCCAAAACAACCCAAGATTAATCACAATACAGATTTCATCAATCAATGAAAACCAAATAAAGGGAGAAATAAATCATGGCTTACCCACTTGTCACCTACTCCGATGATGAAAGTTCCTCCAACTCATCGGCGCACTCATTGTTTCTGCCGTCACCCGTCGCACCATCTCAGGGGGAACGTGGTTTCTCCACTAATACATCACTAACAAATCCACTACCAGACTCCCCTCAGAAATCCCCCATGCTTATTCGCTCATCATCTCCACTGCCGGTATATGCCTCCGGCAACCCCTTTACCCCTTCGCCATCGCCTCCTCACTCTGAAACCCCAATTCTTCTCCACTCGATTTCTCCACCGCCATCTCCAGTCGAAACCTCAATTCCCACTATCACAACATCCCCACCTCCACCACCACCTACTAACCCTAATGACCTAGATCTTGAAGACATCCCACTCAGTCAGCTTCATCCCAAGATCCCTCGGCGAACACGAAAACATATTTCCTTCAAAAGGACTCATATTCGCATCCTATTAGCTCGCAGTGCAAGTCAAGCTCAACTGAAGGAAGCCTCCGAATCTAGTAAGAAGCGAAGACGAACTGGTAAGTCTTCAGTTCCTCCCCGTGTCTCACCTGTACTTCTTGACTCTGAGACTAAAGCAGTCTTGAGTCCTCACCTGTTGTCCCCTCCTCTCAAGCCACCAAAATGACTAAAAATCTGGCCAACTACCTAACCTTGGGGAAGAATAAATACTTTGGTACTAAGAAGGTTCTTAGAGGTAGGACTTTTCATCCTGACATACGCACCATGGGGTTAGTCCTGGGGGTTTTAGAGTTACTACGTTTTCAGGGGTGGGCAGAATTATTTCTTGACACTAGGTTGCCTGTGCATGAGAAAGAGGTTAGTGAATTCTACACCAATCTTAATGTTTTGGAAGGCTCTGTGGCCACTTCTTCTGTAAATGGTGTGGACTTGGTGTTTGATTCGGTTAGACTTGATGAGATTTTTCACATCCCATCTGTAGGGTTGTCTAAGTATGTTTGGACTAAAGATGTGAACTGTATGTTGACCTCAAATTTCTCTCAGAAGCGGATTACAGCTAGATCTAGAAAGGTTCTCAAGGGAGAGATGTCCCCAGTTCACAAACTGTTGTTTGAATTTGTCCATCAGGGTGTTTTTCCTAGGGGTAAGAGGAGGCATGAGGCCTCTTTAAGGGATATGGGGATTGCACATGCTTTGGAGAATAAGGATCCTATAGACTGTCTATCCCTGATGATTAAACATATGGCTAGGGTAACTGATCCTAAACCTAGTGCTCATCAATTGGCTTTTGGAAATCTCATCACCACTATGTTTACAACTTTTGATGTCCCCTTGGGCGAGGGGAGGGCTTTGGTTAGTTGTGATATGATCACCAGATCTACTCTTGCTACTTGCCGGTTGTATGATGAAGGTAATCAGGCTCCTGCTACTCCACCCCGTGTTCTTGGCCCAGCTTCCACTCTGTTGAACCACCTACATCAGTGGCGGAGCCAGGAATTCTATCGAGGGGGTTCAAAAAAAAATTAATCACACTAATAATATCCATAAATAAACGGGTCGGGTCGGATCATATATGAACGGATTGAATAACAAACGGGTTGACAAAAAAATCCTTAGTTCAAATAATTTCTTACAATTACAACTTATCATAAGAAACAAATTCAAAGTACATATCTATAAAATGATAATAAAGTAGCACAACTCATTCAAAAATTCTACAAGTTCTTCAATTCCTTTAGAATTGTCTCCGGCTCCTGAAAGTGCAAATGGAGAGCAAGCACAAATTTAACATTAGAAAGACTGACAATAAACACAAATCAAAGCAAAAACTCACAAAAATTCTTTTTGGCACACTGCACATATAGAATTCTGATTTTTTTTTAAAAAAAAACAAAAAATACAAGAACTTACCGAGGTTGCCATCAATGATCGAATCA